CGACGGGGAAAGAGCGAGGAAGAGGGAGATAGATGGGAAGACTAGAGGTCTGAGCGAGGAAGGCGAGTCGAGAATGATATCGAGGGAATGATAGCGAGGGCGCGAGGAAGAGGGAGAGCTCCGGGTAATGTCGGGGCAGGCTCGTGCGAGGTGCGAGAAAGGAAGCGTCGTTTCCGCATCGCGATTCCGCCCCGTCATTGGCTCCGATTCCGTGCTAACGTTAAACGCGTGCGAGTACACTCTCGCGCAACGCGGGAGACAGCGGGGGTCAGCGCGGGGGAGGATTTTAGGGATGGCCGCTGCCGTTCCACCGTCCTCCCATCCCCCTGGTCCTCTCATCGATAATATACGATCGTACATGATTCTGCTTCGTGTATCACAATGGCCCTCCGGGCAAGCCCGTTCCACCTCTATCTACGTACCTGGCGCGCCGAACTACCGGCGCCCGGAGTCCGCGGTGGATAATGAGTGATTAGGTAATTAGTTGTCCAATATTCGCCCCATCCGACCGTTCCTTCCTCCCCCCCCCCCTTGCCGCGCGCACCCTCTCCTCCGCTCGCTTCGTCACGATCTTCCCAGCGTTCACCAGCTCCGCCGCGTGGTCTCCTGCTACCGCTTGACCGGATGCGTTGACCGGACAGTACAGACGTACGAATGATAGTACGGCTAGCGTACTATCATGATTATCATGTTATATGTTATCGTGTAAGAAACTTTCTATAAAAGATTTCTGTAAAAGCTTTGTCGAAATAGAATGTGATGATAGATAAGTTCCAAACTTTTATTCAATATTTCAGCTTTCTCTCATCGATAACACTTTGTTTGTAAAAAATATGTCAATTCTCTCATATTAGCAATTTTTTTTACAAAAGAATAAACAATTTCAGATAGTAAGACTTGTAGTATTTTTAACCGTTAGATTTAATTATTCATGTCCTGCGCATTTCTTTTTTTTTTAAAGACCAAAAGCACTATAAGTATAGTTATAACACATTCATATACATTTTTTGAAATATAAAACCTTACAAAAACTTCCTAAAGATATCAAATTATATGTAATAATTTTTAGATACTTAGACTAAATCTAAGGGTTAAAAAGTAAGAATTACATTGTTATTTTTTTTTAAAGTAATGACAATTTACCTGAAATACGAACAAAATCATTGCTTGGGATGGGTTAATTTTTATAAATATTTCAATATAACAAATTGAAGTAAAAAAATCGACTAGTGTTATCATAATTATATTCTGTTTTCGTAAATCTTTAATTGTAAACTGAAATTTCTATAAAGACCTGTGACTTTAAATTTTCTTTATTGGAAATATTTTTATAATAATATGAAAATATATAGAAAATATTTTTAAAGCTGCTTCCGTACTTTTTAACACATCAGCTTAACATATACATGAAACATACACGTAAAGCCCATCTCTGCCCTTCGTCACCCAATTGTGCGAATAGTCCGCGCCTCGCAGTGAGTATCGATTCACAAGAGAGAAAGGGAAGAAGGGTGAAAAGAAGGGCACGTCCGTCCAATACCTATGTCCAAAAACAACCGAGTTCTCGAGCCCCGAAGCTGAGGAACCGCCATGTGTGCGGCGCCGAGACAACCCCTTATAAATATAACAATTAAAAAGAGGACTGTGTGTGTGTGTGTGTGTATGGAGTGCGAAACGTCCTGCTTCGAGGGTGGATACCCGCGGGCACCCCAACATAGAACGCAAAACAGAAGGGCGCAGTCCGTTTGCCGCTGTGGGCTTCTTTCTGTCGGTAGGATGCCGAAAAATAACGGAATAATAATGAATCGAATTTTCGATCATATACAAAATTTCGCCGCTTTTTATCATCGACGTTTTATACTCGAAAACAGGAATCGCCTAACGAGAATCACCCGTGAAAATAGTATTCTTGATTTATCTTTTGTTAAACGTGTAAATATTATATAAGGCAATTTCCATAAATACTGAATTAGTTGAGTTTTAGCTAATTCTATCTCTCATTCTCTAATTTTGTCTATGGATAATCAGTTAAATTCTAGTTAAATTCAACTGATGTTATGCGAACGGTCCGTAATAATTTTAACTCTACTGCGCTCCGATCTTGTTCAGTCTACCACCGCATTATCATAATTATTGGATTAAGAGTGTAGTCGACTGACTCCGCAAAGCCGTCGATGTATCTCGTAAAGCTGTATCCATTGTTTGACGAGTGATTGACTGAACCGAGAAAAAGGAGAGGAAACAGAGACAAGCGGTTATCGGTGAGGACCGCGTGGGCGACACGAGGGAGTTAATTCACGAAAGCGCCGAGGCGAATTCAATTCGCGCGAGTTAGCGCGTGACGAAATCGCCGCTCGTCGCCTCGTTGCCGACGACCTAGGTCATAACTATTTAAATGCCCGCGGCTGGATAAATTGTTGTATTAGTCACGCCAAGCTTATATTAATACGTGGCCCGTCCGGGTTCGTCGTTCGCGAGCCCGTTATTTCTTCTTCCGTCAAAGTCCTACTTAGATTTCGTCAAACGGGAGGACAAAGCGTGGATTATTCGTTTCCACACCGTTAATCTCGAATATCTCGAAAGTTTATACGAATTGCAAGCAGCGATACAACCTGAGGCCATTCAGACCTCCTCATATCGCTTCTTTTTACTACAAAGATATAACGTAACTAAAGAAACGTAATTTTCGAGAAAAGAATGAGTTAGATAAAAAAATATTACCTTATCTATCGTCAAAAGTGAAACTTAAACCTAACTGGGATATTCGCGGGTCCAATGTACTTAAATATTTGTTCAAAGTTAAGGTAAATGAACGATCTTTTCATTCTAAAGGCCAAAATCTAAGGAATAAAATTATGTAATTTAAGTACACACGATGATTTTCCGATCCTTTACTACACACGATGGATTATTCATGTCGCGGGTTAATTTTTCTTACTAAAATCGTCAAATGATTCTTACATATACTTTAATTTTTTTAGAAAATATTTGCAAGGTCGTTGTGTATTTAAAAAATTGTATATAAATATTACAACTAATTATTTGATGCACCTTATAATATTTCAAAGAAAAAAAATATAGTACACGAATATTCAATCGTGTATATCAAGGGTTAAAATAATATAAGGTTACGAACAAAAACTTGATATAAAAATTTTTTACAATGTAATTGAAAAAAAAATTCGGATCCATGAATACCATTTAGAATTAACTTAAAAAATCGTCAAACGTAACCTAAAAAGTCTGGTTAAACAAAAATTGTCGAAAATTGTCGCAACTCGAAAAAGGTAATTCAAAAAGATCGACAAAATCGTCACAACTCAAAAGAAGTAATTTGTATGAGTCGTAAAACAAAATTAATACAATCAAAAACATTTGGTTATATTAAAAATACCTTTTTGTCAATATTACTTGAGATCAGTTAATATTTTCCATCAAGTTAAAAAATAGACTTTCTCCTTTTTTAAGAAATTGCATTTTCTGAGTTGTTACTTTTAAGCGATATATTTCAGTTACATATATATTTAAGGCAAAGTTTGAGAAATAACACGGTGGAGATATATAATTAGTAAATACCGCTAATTAGCCGTGACATACTGACGTGACTAACTCCATTGATTCATGTAAATGCTCCATTTAAGAAAAAGGCAAAGATCGCGCCTTTTGCACGAGCAAATCTTCTATTAAGCTCAGTCAACGAATTGAAGTAAATCGTATATCTCCAGAGAATCTTGGAATTCTCTTGCGGCGCTTGTTACTCCTGACATAGATTGCAACAGGCAATAGACCGACTAAGGGAAATTCGCTCTCCCTCGATACAGCCGAGGCCAATCACGCCGATCGAAATGCAACGGATTTTCTCGAACCGACTTGGCGCATCTTCCGCGCGGGAGGTGGGAAAAGAGAAGGCGAAAGAGAGGGAAAAGCAGTCACCGGTGGTTATTTAGGTGATTACGCTTCGCTTCGCGGACGATGTGTGCGCCGTATACGTTTGATCGCATCGTCGTCGCGACAAATCGACATTGTGTCACTGCGCCTCGTTGCAGCAATAACGCATATAATATACGCGCGCGAGCGAGCGCGAGCGCAGCATTACAGACCGCTGATGTAATACTTTTATGATCGGCCGCCGCAATTTCTCGGTGACAACACTCGCTATTTCTGTCGCCGAGTTTGTGCACATGACTGCCGCGACGAGCAATATATCGCGCAAATACGCGCGACGCTCACGCCGGTATTTATACAGGGTGTTCGCCGTTTCTTCCGAACCGCGGATAAAGCTACGTTGGATCTTTAGTAGCTCTCTCTCTCTCTCTCGAGAGAGAGAGAGAGAGAGAGAGAGCCTCGTGTGTCCTCGCGGGTATAAATATATAAAATGAGAATTTTATCTCCGAGATAAGAAAAGAAATGGTAACGGCTATAAATATCAAATGATGACTCGTTTGATATGTCGTGCATAAAAATAATGCTATTCGTAAATTATATTTATCTTGAAACATATAAAACAAATTACCTAGAAACACTGTTGCCTGATAATACAAATATTTAATGAATAAGTTAATTTTTAATATTCACAAAATATTACATAAAAATTAATATCTTTCCCTCTCATTTTATTTCTCTAGTGATTTTAAGATAATTTGGATCATAGAAACACATAACAGTGCAAGTTTAATTTAATAATCAAAATTGATAAAAATGGACTAAAAATTCGGAATCGCCTAGACAGGAAAGAGTACATATCCGGGACACCCTGTACAATATATCGAGCGTGCTCCTTTTTTTCTGCTCCCTCCGTCGGCATTGTTCGTCCATGTAACGCGAGTCGTTTCTCGCTTTCAAAACGGAGCTTCCTTAAGCGGAGGAGAAAATCGAAGCCGGCGATGAGGGGGTACGCCGCGGCCGCTCGTTACGTAGGTGGAATCAAGGCGAAACTTTCCGCATGAAATTGCAACGTGCGCCCGGCCGTGTAATGCCCGAGTGGTACAACTCACCTGTACGTTACATGTCTTCGTACGCTGTCGATACCGCTCGCAGTAGAGGCTGCGCTTTTTCCATGCGGGGTGCATTGCTCTCGTCCAAGTCCATCCGCGCGTCGACGTTTCCCTGTGGTCCACCAGCCTGTCACGAAACAGAGGAAAAAAGGGGGCGTGATTGAGAAAAGTGAGTAGCGACGAGAGACGGTTTCGCAGAATAAATTAAGCCCGAGGCAAGATGAATCGATGAATAATCTTGAAAATGTTAATTTTTAAAAGAAGGGTGTCTATTTCTTTCAATCTTACAGCTCTCTCTCTTCAGTAAGAGATTTGTTATAATTGATTATTTCATCGTATTCCTTGCCTCAAAATACGACCACACTGTATCAGCACCACTGTACAAGTCATGTAAAGATTAATAAGACCGGACGCTTCCGAAAAACTACTCTCTAAATTCTTTGGAGCACAATCTCATTTTAAAGAGATAAAATTGAGCCAATCTGGAAAAAGAGCGGCTCAATTTTCAATCTTTACGAGTGATATTTTACTCTTCAGAGTGAGATTCACTCTAAAAGTTTTACTAAGTACATAAATCAATAATTGTCTGAAGAGATTGCATAACTGTTATGTACGTAATTCTGTTTTATTATAATATCCAATATCTCTATTTCAACTTTTACATGCTCTTTTTACAAACTTCCCAACTGGACATGTATACGTATGCGGCATTTATAGCTAAAAAGGTTAAAGATCGAAAGTGACTTCTATCTATGTATACAAGCCACCCTTCGCATTCCCTCCGAGACACGATAATCCGCAGAAATACACGGCTGTGGTGGCGAAGATTGCACGGGCGGCAAAGTAAAAGAATGATTTATCGGTCGGCTGACTTTTCCCACCCGACTTTTCCTACTCGTGCGGAGGGCCGGCTGATCTTACACTCAGCTAGTGTCTTCTGCTCTCACACGAGAAACAATATTAGCAATGGTGTTACCACGCGATTCGTTTTTTTAAATATCTTTTACATTATAACGTATCTCTCTTTCTCTCTTTTTTTTACGGTGGCTGCCAAAACTTTCTTACTAATATATAATTTTAAAATTTGATAATAAATTTATGTAAAAAAAGTAACAAAGGTTCCACAAGGAATACAACTCAAATATAAAATATATAAAATATAAAGGGCTTGGAAGCCGAGCAAGATATTTATTAAATTAAATATTAGAATACATTAAGAATCGGAACAAAAGTTCGTAGCACTGTATTAACTTCACAGAATATAATTTCATAAAAACTAAATGAAATTTAAATTTCAAAAAATAATTTTAAAGCTTGAAATCTCTACTTTCGACAGATCATTACATCTTTTGAGTTTCCGTGAGTAAAGTTTCTGGTAATCTTTACATATAAGAAACTATGAGTCAGACAAAATTAAAAATTTTGTTCTCATTTTATGGTTCTTTTACGTGTCCAAAAAAAATGCGAAAATTTTTAACTTTCTAACATAAAAGCTTAAAGTTTTCCCTAAAAAATCGTCTTCTAACAAAATGCCTAAGATTTTTTGTCACTAAGTTATCGCGAATTAAATAAAAAGAACGTTTTAACTTTGTATAACTCGACATCATTGTACCACAATTAAAAAAACAGATTCTTAAAATTAAAACTTTTCTCTATTAAATAGTATAACTGCCAAATTTTTTAAAAACGTGTAGATAAGATGAAAGTGAGGTAGCACTATGAACTTTTGTTCCAACCTAATATAAAATAAATACTGGATTTTTATTTTTTTGTAAAGATTCTTTATCCAAGTCATACAATAAAATTACTCATTGTCCGGAAACTTTTGATTATACATTTATTAAGAATTTACGTGAAAATGGGAGAACAGTAAAAATTTGAAGAATGCAAACGCCTCGTTGACAGACCGGCGAACCTTGCGTTTTGCGTTTGACATACACAGCTAACACGGCCAAAAACGAAGGAAGAGATAAATGAAGAAGAAGGAAGAAGGGGGGGGAGGGGGACAGGCGAGTGGCGAGAGCAACGGTTACAGCAGAATAAACCCCTCAATAATGAGTTCCGCGAGTGAATTCCCTCGGTGCGGAGAGAGGCTCGAGATAATAAAACAGAGCGGGACGTTGGCGGCGGTCGAAGGGGGACGAAAGGGGGCTAGGAAGGGTGGCGAGTGGGTGGCGGAGGGTACGGGGATGAGCGGGGACCGAGGGAGGTTTCCGCACTGGCAAGAGTAATAGTAAGAGGCAATAAAATATAATGAAATAACATCCAATCCAGGAGAGATATTGTGAAAATATTATTACTAACTTATTACTCGTTGGGCACGGCGTACCACGCTCTCGACCTTTTTCTCCATTTTTCCCTGCCTTGCTCTCCCTCCCTCCTCCCTCTATCCGCCAGTCTTCGTTCCCCCCGTTTCCTCCCGTTTCCTCCTGCTCTCGACAAATATATACAGGGTGCGCCTGAAAAGGTGGAGCTCGATAGTACCGTTCGCGAGAGATTTTTACTTGGCAAAGATTCCAATGGCTTTTTTCGATTTCTAACGTTAAGCATCCCGAAAATTGATGAGACCCTGAATTCTTCTTTCGAATGAAAGTTTCGTAGAGATTAACTGTAAAATACGGTGTCCCTTGTATTTAAATTCTCTCGCACATACAGGCGTAATTCGATAAAAAATTATAAGTTCCAACGTTAAATGATTCATTGTGCAAATTGCGTAACGCGTATTAACAGTTATACATTTAAATATTAGGTAAAGTAGATAATATATAAATTCGAGAATTTTTTTTATCTGGAAGATGGAAAAGGAGATATACATTTTAACAGTAGAAAGAGTTATACGATAATTTTGTATAAAGATAACTGTATATGTTCATAGCAAAACTATCACGAAAATATTATGATAAACATTTCTCGATAATATCTTACGTATTGTTTCAAAACTGACTTTCCATCGATAAGGCAATTTTAGTCGAAAAATTTCTACTCCTTTCAAGCGCACCCTGTATAACCCCTTCCATATATATAACCCGCTCCATCTTTCTTCCTTCTCTCCGTCCGTTTCGTGGTCGCCGGAGACGCGATAAAATTTTTCTCCCTTATCGAGTCCCAATAAAAATCGGTTACCCGTGGCAGAAGAGCGCCACGGTCGTCGTCGGTCGGAGGACCGTCCCCGCAACGTGAAAAAAACGCGAACACCGCGTCACCGAGTCGCAGACGACACAGCGCAGATTTCTGCGGCTCGTTATTTTAAATTAACGCGAGAGCGCCGCTCCGTACTTTAAATTATATCAGGGCTGGATCCCAGAAGATTCTCGAGAGGTCGGCCGCCGACGTTAAAAATTAAGTATCTAAGGAAAGCGAGTTTTCGTTATAATAATTTTGTTGTAATAATCATTTATATTCATGAGAGAAAGAGAGGATACTTTCCATTTTCAGAAGGGAGGGAAAGGTAATCGCGTACGCGTTCTCGCTCTCTTCGCGGAAATTAATTAACTGTAAGACCACGACGACCTCTCCTCGTCTTCGGAGGAGGATTTCGCGGCGCGCGTTGCAGCAGAAAGTGCAATCTGCCGGCCGCGTTCCGCGCCGTAACGCGCGCCACGCCGCTAGCCTAATCGCCCGGTATCGCCGTCGAAATTATTCCCTTTTAGCGTTGTTAGCTCGGTACGTTCGCGATTCACGATCGATCCCCCGGGTTCGTCCGGCTCTCTCGCATTTGAAATGCAAAGTGCGCGGCCGAGCATTATCTTCCAGGAAAGACCGGCGCGGCGGACGAATAGAAAGAAGAAGAGAGAGAAAGAAGAAGGAAAGAAACACAGAGAAAAAGGCAGAAAGAAAAGATTATCGCGGAGCGAGATATCCGGGGGAGAGGAATCGCGCGCGCGCGCGCGCGCGCGGTGACGAAAGATGGTTATATAAAACGCGGTTAGGAGGCGAAGAAGAAGGTGGTGGGAGAGAGGTGCGGGGTAGAGGTGGCATGCAACAATCCTATCTGACCGTGTAAATCTCCGAGCGTCGTAACGAAGCGGCAAATCGAAACTAAACGGTAGCCCATGAATGGGAAATTAGAAAATAACGTTACGCTGGCGCGAGGTCGCGCGCGCTTCCGGCCAGGACACCCTGTCGACTGCGTGTGTGCGTGTGTGCGCGTGTGTACGTACACACACGTGCGTCCTGCGTGCGAGTCGTCTCACGCATCGGAGCTGCCGAGCTGCCGAGCTGCCGTAATGCACATTATTATCTCGTAAGCGAAATCTGGTTACGAAGTCCTTTTATTAAGGATTTAATTGATCGACGACGCTTAAAACGCGCTCGGTCGTCGTAGTCGTCTCCGTTCGTGCGTTTCGCGCTGCTTTCCATCCTTCCGTTTCCCATTTATTTTTCTTCCCCCATCTCTCTCTTTCTCTTTTGTTAAATAAACTTCTCTCTCTCTCTCTCTCTTTCTCTGCTGCATTTCCTCCCCCTCCCTGCATTCGTAATAAAATTTACCTCCTCCCCTCCTTTTTTATGCACGACCGTTACTTGCATTCATTTGTTTTCCGCATCTTAATTGCATCGTTGCCAAATTGGATTCGGTGTCTTTCTATATTTGCATTCCTGTTGTTTTCGAATTTTCCGGCCCGTCATTTTACACCACTTACGTATATATTGCGAGTATATTGTTCTCGTGGGTTCCCATCCGGAACATAATAAACCGCCATCCGCCCTATCTACCTATCTATCTACCTATCCGTCTCTCTTTCGCATCGTTGCACCGAGTTTTTTATTTATTTATTTTTTTATTTGGCTTAAAGAGTTTAGCAATGTAATCGGAATATTTTTACGCCTTCCCTTTAGTCGGCTATTATACGTGAGCCGCAAATAAATTTCGAATATTTTATTTCCAGTCCGCAAGATATTTTTCTGAAACGGCAAATCTGTCAACGATTAAGCGGATCGAATACAGAGAGACAGAAAATGGTGAGAATTCTTGAAAAGAGAATTCTTAAAAGAATAATACAATTGCTGTTTTATAATGTTTTAATGTTTCGCTTATCCATTCGATAAAATTTATGCGAGTGTCCGAACATGAACAATAATGTAGGTACATGTATTTTAAGGTCCGTCGTGAGAATTTTAAATCGATGA